TCCAAATGATTTATATAGCGAGACATTTCAAGGAACATTTTTCATTTCAAATACTGTCACTCTTTGGGACTAGGAGCGTGCAAGACATTGTTCTCAGCTTTTCCTGAACATGTGGCCTCTGGTTAGGAGCCTGTACTAACACTCGCAGATACAAATGGACTTCTTGTGCATGGTGATGAGTTGTTCAAAACACACATAGAAGTCCCTTCTGCGGGGAGGATCCTTTCTTCCTCACTCAGCTGTTATCCTGGTGTGCGCAAAGCCACACTTCATTATTCATGAGATGCATTTTCTGTCAAAAACCAGGGGATTTGGAGCAGTACTGACCTATGACCTTTCCAAATAACAGGGAAGAATAATTCATAAGGGGTGAAAATGGAAGCAAGACAAGCCATCTGAGGCCTAGGCACGATTACTGTCCAGGGGGACCTTCCCGGCTCCCCAGGGAGTCTCAGTTACGAACTGCTCCTCTGCACCCGTAACCTAATTCAGCTTCAGCTCCATCTTAGGCCTGCAGCACTACTTACATCTTCAATAAAAATCCATTTTGCCAGCATGATAGGACATTCGGCATGATGGACAGACACTATTACCTTTTAGATGGAGATCTTACATTTAATGAGCAATACTCAGCATGCAACAAAAAGCATACAAGAAGAAAATTTGGCTGCAAGTGAAATGAAGATCCCAGCATTGCCTCTTTGAAAATAAATGCTTTGTATCCTGGCTATTGTGGTCTTCCAGTCACTATTTTATCCAGCTGAGGTGGCTTGAAGTTGATTCTTCTACCTTTGAGCATCCCTAGGTTTGCAGTCAATGGAGATGTTTTTTAGACCATCAGTCATTTCAAAATGCATCTTGGCTTTTGGGAAACAGCTGAGTTGGTTCTGCTTAGAGAACAATGAACATGTTATGGAAGGCGTGTAGTCTTCAATTACTAAATTAATGATATGCAGAAGTGCTTTCAAAACATGTGATTTCATACCCTGGTCTGCATGTCAGTGCTCAATATGCATAAATCTGTGCCCTCCTGGAGAAGCAGGAGGCTTATAATAGTCTAACAACTCATAAAAACAAAAAACATGTCAGCTCGGCATGAAGTCTGGTTTCAATTCACAAAAATTGACAAAAGCCACAGGAATATAGTACCATGCACGAAATCACTTCTAAGGGGTGGAATATATTCCACATTTACTGAAACATCTAAAATTTGCACCTAAATTTTAAGTTCCTACAGTAAGAAGCCTTCGATGTCTCTGTTTCCTCTCAGGTCAGCAGAGAAAAAGCAGGTGCGCCAGATGTAGGCGCCTCAGGTCTACAAGGAATGGATGCTTGTTTTAAGAAGACTGTTTCGCTGGGCACCAGCCGATTGCCTGAGGTAGGGGACTGGATGCCATTCAAGAACTCCTGCAATTGAATTCTGCTTGTTCAAAGGACAGACTATAGGAAAACTGTGTCAAACTTTTTAAAAAGGTAGAACCCCCCGTGCAAGCTAAATGCCAATCCTGATATGTACCAGCGAAGCTCATACCTACTAAACTGAACAAAATTCCTTTATTTCTTTTTATGAGGAGATCTGTTAAATAAACAATGATAAAGTGCCTGGAAATTTCAAGGACATGATATAAAGACACAATAAACCAAATTTGCATTCTAATGGTGAAAGGAAAGGCATAAATTTGCTAGATAGTCAGCACTGAAACTGTAAATTTGTTGTTTCCCCTGTAAGAAATATGCTTTGGCTGACTTTGCTGCTGCAAACTAGCAGGGACTTGAGATGGTTACAGAGAGAACCACTCAAGGGCTGTGACGATGACTTGCAGGGCAGAGAGGTTCCTCTTCAAGCGAGGAAAGAAAAGGTGAGACATATTCCTGCAGCAGAGCTCACCAGTAAGTTTGGCAGCTACACACACAGCTGTCCTACCAACATGCCCATGCTCTCAGCAACGCCCCTGAACTCTTCCGAAGCAGTAGTAGAGTCAGTTTACAGGTTGTCAGATGTCAAACCCCTAACAAGACATACGGACTTTTGCCTTAAAAATGGCAAACACATTTTAGAACAAAATGATCCAAAGACAAGATTCTCACTGCCCTGAATGCCTTGATGTAAGAACCCAGGGGCCCTTAGTTTATGCTACTTTGGCTGGCGTTCAGCCATGTGAATAAAAGAAAAATGCTGAACTGATTTTCTGTCTAAGGCTGCAGCATCACTAATTGTTTCAGAGCCATGTCAGGTCTTAGCAGATGGCAGAGAAGGAACTGAATTTCTGACATTTTTAATTAAAATGCAACCCCTATTATTATGGGATTAATAGATATATAAATATAGCTGCACAATTTTAATGTACATTTTGTAAGAGGCAAATTCTGGACTCTTTGTAGACCTAACTAAGAAGGCTGAAAGCAGGTGAATTCATGTTGGTAGCTCTTGTGATTTTATTGCTACTCTTAAAACAGCGAGGCATTTTTCTGAAGGCTGCTCCTACAGTAAAGAATATAGTGAGAACGTCAGCTCTACTTTTTTTCCCAACAGAACCACATTCCTAGCAAAGTTTGCAAAGGAAAATGTTTAAATCCCTCAAACCAGAAAGCAATAGTAAGGCCCCCAACAGCAGAGATATGTATTCATACATGCAAATGCCACGCTTGGGGTGACTGGGTCCTTGGGCTGCAATAATGCTTTTTGACAGAGGGAAACCTCTTTTCACTAAGGTTGATCCGAACCACCAAGACTTTTTTTCCCCTTCCTGGATTTTGGCCAAGACAGTTTTGGCCAGCAGTGAAGGAGGCATGTGCTCAGCTGCCTTGTCTGCAAACCGGCTCTGCCCCCTGAGGCAGAAGAACCACTCCACAAACCTGCTCCCAACATGGGCACACTGGAGTGGCTTCATTATACCTCAGCCCTAGCTGTGCATCTGACCATGACACCAATTACATGTCTTCCCATCTGCTGCAAAGGACCCAACCAACCTTCCTTCGGGCTAGATTTTGATAACCGTAACTTGTTACAGAGAACACAGGGCCCTTCTGTCCCCTACCATTTGTGCCCAAATGCCATAATGGTCTGCAAAATGAGTGGGGTTTTGCACACCAGTTGTTCTGTTAAAATGGGGGAGAATAGTCAAGGCACTTTCTGCTTCATGGTCTAATTTTTGTGGTTTACTAGCTTAGAATGAGTCTTCACATGACTCTAGCAAAGGGTGTGCATGGTTTTTCCCTTGACTAGCACAAAACCAGAAAAGCCACAGTTTGTCACATCTCTGTAAAGTCCAAATGTGTCACTCTGAGTGCCAAAAACCTGTGTGTCATTTACTTGACAAGCTTGGGACCCTCACTCATGTCTAGTGCTTGTGCTGCTTCACAGATGTCCCAGTACCTCTTGGTGCACGTGCTGCTTTGTGCAGGGACTGTATCCTCACCTTCACCCTCCTGCTGAAGGCTGAAAGGAGGGGGAAGACCTTACGGCACAGACACCCTGCCTGGAAAAGGCATGTGGAAGAAAATGAGCTAAATTACAACTGGACCAAGCTGCCTCTCCTGCTCCTACATGTGGATGGGCGGCAGAGGGAGGTGAGAAGCTGAGGGAGGAGCAGAGGGTGCTGCTCTGCTGTGGCAGCAACCCCTCGGCACGCCGTTTTGACTAGCCCTGTGGCACACATTGGCATGTACACAGGCACCCTGCCTTCCTCGGTGTCCTTGCAAACCTGTGCTGAAGAGGCCTGGGGGCTCATGTCATGGGTGGCAGTACGGCACAGCCGTCGAGAGTGACTCCGTGGTCTGGGGCACCGCACGAGCCCCACGGGGGAGACCCACCAGCACTGCAAATGGACATAAACAGGCATTCCTGCCCAAGGCAGTCCCTGCAGTTTGCTGCTTGTCCCCCTTCCCATGCTGCCCTCTCTCAGCCATCTACATGCATACCAGTGTGGACAGTGGCTGTAACATGGATTGCTTCCCGCTCTGGGCCACCACAGGGGTGGGAAGTGATCCACATTTGTCCCCGTATGGGGACACGGGTGCAAGGCGTAGGAAGGCATAGCCAGGGAGAGGAAAAGGGCAAGGGTGGTTTTTTTTCATCAGAGAAACGATGGGTGGGAAGACCCTGCCACACTTAGGTTATCTCAGCGCTAGCAAGCAGCACAGACCACGAGGAGCTGGTCTGTAGAGGGAACCCGTGGCTGCTAATCTGCACACCAAGTGTGTAGATGACTGAGCAGAAAAGATTTGGGACTATTATTATTCTCCATTCTCTTCTACGCCTTCAAAATGCAAATTACCACTTGGATTCCCTTATCCACAGAAACAGTGGGCATTTGCAAGGGGTTTCAGTACATCCCTGGTGAGTTTGGCTCCTGTTTCTGCCAGGCCCCCAGAAGCAGCCGCTCGGAAGCTCCTTTTGGGACCTGTGGAGATGTCCAGGAGGCTGCTCCTCTGCCCCCTCCTTTGAGAGGGAGAAGGACCGGGGGCTGCACCCTCAGCACGTCTGATGGTTTAAAACCTCCTTGGGTGTTTCTGAACAGCAGCTACTCGCTGGGTACAACACTTGTCAAAGTACGGCACATTTGCTCATCCTCCAGTGATCTGTAGGGAAATAATTACTCTAAAAATCTTTTTTATCCCCAATGTGTGAATTTCATACTGACATTGCTACCCTGCAGGGTAACAGATACATTCAGGGTAACAGGATCACTCAAAATTATTCCTTTCTACAACAGAAAGTGATGCAACATAAGCTGCATTACTTCAAACAAACTGTAGGGTTACTTGTTTTTTTTTAAATGTGTTGCATTATTGAGAATGAAATTTGGCTTTATCCTCTGGCTCCTCAGGCCTGCCCACTGATTAACGCAAGGGTGGGAATGACAGATGCCAAGTACTGTCACATCGGGACGACAGCACTGTGCAACCGCTTTGTGCAAGGGTCAGCCATTTTGAAAGAGGCGATGCAATGGCGTGCTGTCCACCAAGGGTGCCCCAAACCCACCTCCACTCGCCCTTACCTGGGCCGGGGCGCTGGAGGAGAGGTGGGTCAGGTCCCCGATCCTGGCGGCCGCCCGCGGATCGCTGGAGCTGATGAGGACGGGGGCGCTGATCTCCATGGAGTGCCGGTTGCTGGCAGCCTGGGAGGACTTGTGCGTCATGCTGAGGGCGGTGAAGGAGTGGCGCTTCTTGGCATTCTTCTTGCCCTCCGCCTGCCGCTGGGCTGCCCCAGCCGCCCCGGCGCCGGCCACCCTTGAGCATGGAGCGAGGCCTGCCGCCGGCGCCGGCCACCATGGAGCATGGTGCCAGGCCTGCCGCTGCCGCCGCTGCCACTGCCACTGTCTCCGTCGGCAGCGGCACGTCGCAGCCGGAGGCGGCAGCCGAGCACGTCTTGTCCATCTCGATGAGCTGCTTGGCGGATTCATTCAGCTGTGTGAGGAGGAAAAGGGAAAGATAAAAAAAGATTAAAAAAAGAAAAGAAGGGGGGACATTAACATCCTGTCACAGCTTGCTGATGGCACCTGCTGGACCTGCCTAGGCCTTCCTCCCCAAAGCACCATGACCCTTTCCTGTGGCCTACCCCAGCCCCAGCCACGTCCCCAGCAAGGCGATCACGCTGAGCACCGAAATGTGGTGGCTGCCTCTCCTGGTTTCGGCTGGGGTAGAGTTAATTTCCTTCCTAGGAGCTGGGACAGTGCTGTG